AGGAGGAGGAGGAGGAGAATCATAATCAGAAGAATACGAAGAAGAAGACGCATACTAAGAATAATATGAATACTAAGAAGAACAAGAAGAAGAAGAAACAGACTATGCAGAATAATAAGAAGAATACTAATAATAAGAATAAGAATAAGAAGACGACGAAGACGACGACGCAGAATAATACGAATAATAAGAACAATAATAAGATGAATACTAATAATACGAAGAAGACTACGAAGACTAATCCGAATAATAATAATACGAACAAGGATAATAATAAGAAGAAGAAGAATAATACGAAGAAGACTAATAAGAATACTAATAATAAGAAGAAGACTGAGAAGAAAACACATAAGAAGGCGACTACTAAGAATACTAATACGAATAAGAAGACGAATATTATTAATAATAAGAAGAATAATAATCATACTAATAATACTACGAAGAATGATAAGAGGAGGAGGAGGAGGAGGAGGAGGAGGAGGAGGAGGAGGAGGAGAGGAGGAGGAGGAGAGGAGGAGGAGGAGGCGGAGGCGGAGGCGGAGGCGGAGGAGGAGGAGGGAGGAGGAGGAGAGGAGGAGGAGGAGAGGAGGAGGAAGATGAGGAGGAGAGAGGAGGAGGAGGAGGAGGAGTGAGGAGGCGGAGGCGGAGGAGGCGGAGGCGGAGGCGGAGGGGAGGGGAGGCGGAGCGGAGGCGGCAGGCGGAGGAGGCGGAGGAGGCGGAGGGCGGGGAGGAGGAGGAGGAGCGGAGGAGGCGGAGGAGGAGGAGGAGGAGGAAGGAGGGAGGAGGAGGAGGGAGAAGGAGGAGGAGGAGGAGGAGGAGGAGGAGGAGGAGGAGGAGGAGGAGGAGGAGGATGGGGGGAGGGGAGGAGGGGGAGGAGTATGAGGAGGAGGAGGAGGAGGGGAGGAGGGGGAGGAGGAGGAGGAGGAGGGAGGAGGCGGAGGAGGCGGAGGAGGCGGAAGAAGGAGGAGAGGAGAGGAGGAGGAGGAGGAGGAGGAGGAGGAGGAGGAGGGAGGAGGAGGGGGAGGAGGGGGAGGAGGGAGGAGGAGGAGGAGGAGGAGAGGAGGAGGAGGCGGCGGCGGCGGAAGAGGCGGAGGAGGAGGAGGAGGAGGAGGAGGAGGAGGAGGAGGTGGGGGGATGGGGATGGGGGAGGGAGGAGGGGGGGAGGGGGAGGGGGAGGGGGAGGGGGGGGGAGGGGGGAGGGGAGGGGGAGGAGGAGGGGGAGGAGGGGGGAGGAGGGGGGAGGAGGGGGAGGAGGGGGAGGGGAGGAGGGGGAGGAGGGGGAGGAGGGGGAGGAGGGGGAGGACGAGGAGGACGAGGAGGACGAGGAGGACGAGGAGGACGAGGAGGACGAGGAGGACGAGGAGGACGAGGACCTCCCCATCCTCCCTTCTTCCACGTCCTACATCTGTCAGTGGTGGTGGAAAATTGGCCCCTCACGCGTTGTGACGTCGTGGCGGTGTTCGCTCGATCTGCTGTTGTGATCGGCGCCCGCGGTGCCGACAGGCGCTGCGGCGCCGACGCCCCCGAGGAGTGCGCGAGCGCTGCGGGGTTCATAATCGCGGTGGTGAAAACAGTGCGATGAAACAGTGCGGCAGCGACGACCCATGCGGGTATTGGTGCGCAACGTGCAGCCTCCAGGTCCGAGCTTCCACAGAAGGCAGCAACCCGGCTACAGGAATGGAGAATCTTGCCTTCAGTAGCCATTTTGGCTCAAGTGAGAGAGGCTCGACACGCACCCTGGGGCGGATCCAGCACCCGACCCGGGCCGCTCGCTCGCCCGCTGGGCCCGCCGCTGCGCTCCGAGTGGCCCGCCATGCCCTGCCGCCGCCGCGGCCGCCGCGGCGCGGCCGCGGCAGCGGTCGGCGCAGCCCTGGCGGCGGCCACGGGGCGCGGGCACGTGGCCCCACTGGAGGCCTTCGCCGGGCCGGCCGCGGGTCCCGCCGCTCTGCGCGGGGCGCGCCCGCGCGCTGCGGCCGCCAGCCCCGGCCGCGGGGCGCGTGCTCCGGCCGCGGCCGGGCGCCGCGGGCACGGCAGCGCGGAGCGCCAGAGCGGCGTCCAGTACATCTCCTGGGAGAGATGTCGCCAGGCGTGGCGCGTCAGGTACACGATAAAGAACGGTCCGGACAAAGGTTGCACGAAAAAACCTTATTTCTTCCCGACGGACGAGTCCCCCGTTGAGGTGGAGCGGGCGCGGCTCGCCGCCGTCGAGGCGCTGCGGCGAATCCAGGAGGAGGACCAGCTCGGGCAGGTCCGCTCTGAAGGCAGCGGCAGCGCGGAGCGCCAGAGCGGCGTCCAGTACATCTCCTGGTGGCGAACTCGCCAGGCGTGGCGCGTCGGGTACAGGATAAAGAACGGCCCAGACAAGGGTGTCAGGAAATTGAACATCTTCCGCCCGAAGGACGAGTCCCCCGAGGAGGTGGAGCGGGCGCGGCTCGCCGCCGTCGAGGCGCTGCGGCGGCTTGAGAGGGAAGACCAGCTCGGGCGGGCCCGCAGCGTCAGCGCGGAGCGCCAGAGCGGCGTCCAGTACATCTCCTGGTGCAGAACTCGCCAGGCGTGGCATGTTCAGTACAGGATCAAGAACGGCCCGCACAAAGGCACCCTGAAGCAGCCTCGATTCTGCCCGAAGGACGAGTCCCCCGAGGAGGTGGAGCGGGCGCGGCTCGCCGCCGTCGAGGCGTTGCGGCGGCTCGAGGGGGAGGACCAGCTCGGGCGGGCCCGCGCTGACAGCCCCGCAGCGCGGAGCGCCAGAGCGGCGTCAAACACATCTTCTGGCTCGAGAGAGGTCAGGAGTGGCGTGTTTGAGTACAAGATAGAGAACGGTCCAGACAAAGGTAGGGGATCAAAAAGTGGCATAAACATAAAAACTTGGAGGTCCGCGCGGATTCCTCGGATCGGCGGCGCTGGGCCCCCCCGGCGGCGCCTCTGGCGCCGCCCCTGGCGCGCTCCGCGCGCCATGGAGGGAGGTCAACGCCGATCCCAAGAATCCGCGCGGACCTCTGAGTTTTTATGTTTATGTAATTTTTTCCACCCCTGAAAGGTGTCATGAAACAGCTGACTTTCTGCCCGAAGGACGCGTCGCCGGAGGAGGTGGAGCGGGCGCGGCTCGCCGCCGTCGCGGCGCTGCGGCGGATCCAGGAGGAGGACCTTGCGCTCGGGTCGAGCAGCTCGGGGGGGCCCTATGCCGGCTGCGGCCGCGGAGAGGCGCCCGCCGCGCCTGCCGAGGGGGAGGAGCGGCTGGCCGCCTTCCGCGGGCGCTACCCTGTCGACGACGGCGCCTTCGAGCTCTTGGCGAGGCAGCCGGCCCAGGTGCAGTCCATGGTGATCGCGGGGTTCTGCCCGCCAGAGGAGGGCCTGTCCGACTACTCGGCGCTGCTGGCGAGCGTCGTCCAGACCATCACGGCTGCCGCACGGCGGCCGCGCCAGGTCGCGACATTCTCGACGGGCTGCTTCTGGAAGTCGCAGGAGCTGTTCGACAGGGTGAGCGGCGTCCTCAGCACCACGGTCGGCTACACTGGCGGTAACACGCTGAGCAAGCCCACGTACGAGAGCGTGCAACTTGGGGACGGGCATTCCGAAGCAATCCGCATAGAGTTCGACCCTGAGCTGATCACCTACGACGAGCTCCTCACTCACTTTGACCGCATTCGCGAGCGCACGCCAGCGCCAGTGGGCTTGGCGTTCGCTGGGGGGGCACAGCAGCACACTGCCGCTCTGCAGGCTGGGACCAAGGCGCAGCACCTCTCGGCAGTCTGGTACCACGACGAGGAGCAGAAGAAGGCCCTGCAGGAACGCGCCAGACGAGGCGCCCCGGAGGTCCACGCCGCGCGCATGGAGACCTGGCACGACGCGGAGAGACACCACCAGAAGTTCTACCAGAAGGGCTGCAGCGTGCAGTGACGCGCAGACTCCATTCCCTTCTCCTCCTTCCGCCGTTCCTCCTTCCCCACGCTTTCGAGGCCTGGATGAGCCGAGGGGGTACGGTACAGTAGGTTCGCGTGGTGTCGACCGGCAGCGACCCCACCGCGTGCGTTTAAGGTTGAACGCCGTCTGTGGCCCAGAGTCGGCCCATCCTTGATTGATCTGGCCTTTTTGAGAGGGCCGATCGTTCAAGTATGAACGATCCCCGCGGTGCCAGGAACCAACGCCGGGGTCGACACGACGCGAACCTGCCGTAGAACCGTGGTGCGCCAGGGCCCTCGGTCGGGGGCCTGGCCCGTGGTGCCGGGCGGGCTTGCTTCCCTTCCCGAAGCGACGTCTCTCTACAGGAGGAGTATTCGAAAATGGTCAAAACATAGTCTGGGAACGTTTTTTTGTGTGGTTATTTCACAACTATTTTTATTTTTCGTCGAAAATCCGCCGGTAGGAGGACGCGCCCGACCTAACCTTCGGCCTTCCCCGCCTCCCCGCGAGCTGCTCGGCCTACGCCCCCCGGCGCGGCGCCGAGAGCGGAGAGCTCGGCGCCGCCCCCCAGCGCGCAGGGCAGTGGCAGCTGCATCGCTCCGCCGCCGTCGCCGCGCTCGTCGGCCTCCTCGCAGGGGACCTGTCCTGTGCGCGGCATCGCTTCCCCTGGCTGCAGGAATGCTTCTCCTGCTCCTCGTCCTCCTCGTCCTCCTCCTCTTCCTCCTCCGCCTCCTCCTTCGCTCCTGGACGTCGTTGCGCGTGGGTCATAGGGCCATGGGTGTCAGATCGGCTGGCCAGAGCGCCAGCCCGGGCGATGCTGATTTTTGGTTAGGGGTCGGAGCGGCTCTGGGTGTTCACTGCTCCTGCACGTCATTGTCGTTGCCGGCTCGGCGCAGAACACGTCCCCGGCATCGAGCTGCAGACAGGCCGCGCTTGCGCCACTCTGGGAGCGCATCGACGTTGGGGGTTTCACGCGCGCGTGCTCGTGAGCACGGCCTGGCAATCTGCAGCGACGCCCAACAAAAAGGAGTGGAGAACACTGCCTCGCAAGGAAGTCAAGGGGTGGTCCTGGTGGGCGCATCGGCGCAGGAACTTGGTGTATGTACGCTCCAGCGTCCCACAGGTTGGGCAGATGGAGCGTCTGCACACCGAGCTCCTTGGCCGACCAAACGACGTGGTGTACACATCGGGCCCCTCCCGGTTCGCAGGCAGCTGTGGGATGTGCGGGGAGCAGGCCGTTGTGCTTGCATGCGCGCTCGCGGGCCGCTGTGGCACCGGCATGGCCCCGCTTCCCTCGCGGCCTGGTGGTCGCAAGCTGGCCGCAGACACTCATTTTGCGTGGCGCTCGCAGGCTGCTGCGGTATTGGCAGGATCCCGGCATGCCGTGGTGTATCCCATGATGCCCACAGGTTGCTCGCCAGGGGGGCAACGGGTCCCGAGGGGAACGGGTCCTGAATTGTTTTTCGCCGGTTTTGGCTTCCCCGGGGCCCTCCGCGGGCCCGGGGGCCGTCAGGAATCGACTCAGGATGGAGATCTCGTCCTGGGGGAGGGCCCCGGGGCCCAGGACCCGAGTTTCCCCCATGCAGGCCGGTGGTGTTCAGAGGCATATGCGGAGCTGGCCAGAGCGAAAGGGTCAGATCATCGGCTGGCGCCTCCCAACAGAAGAATCCAGGCAATCGCCGACTTTAAAGCAGTGTCATGGAGGAGTCAAGGAGGAGATGGGGCATAAGCGCGAGGGAGGAGAGAGGTTGACATTGGGCAGAAACATAACAAGCGGATGATCTTGAGGAGGAGGAAGAAGGTAATATGGAGGAGGGAGGAGGAGGAGGCAGAGGACGATGCAGACGAGTGCGAAGAGAGGAGAGGGGCGAGGACTATACGAAGCCGACGGACTGAGGATCAAGAGCAGCAGAAGGATTGGGAGCAGGAGGGCGGGCGGCGGGGCCAGAGGGCCGCCCGGAGGCAGCCGAGACCAGAGGCGCCGAGCCCGCCGCCTCGGGCGCGCGCGCGCGCGGGGCTCCTCCGACCGTTATCGTCTTTTGTTTGCCTGTCTTGCTTTGTTCTGGTAAGCTTAGTCTTGTTGAGTTCTTAGCTCTGCAGATCGATGATGGTTGATCCCCCCTGCCCAGAGCCCCCGGTTGTGAGGGCACGTGCGAAGCCTACCCCACCTCCTCAGGGTTTCTGAGGGGGGAGGTGGGGTGGGGTTCACTTCGTTCGGGACCGAGCGAAGTGAACCCCACCTCCCCCCCACAGGAGTTGCGGCTCCCTGTGCCGCAGCTTGTAACAGGCCCTGCGCGCTTGCCCCTGTTCGTCCTCTGGGAATGGAGCCCTGGCTCAGGAGCGGTGCGAACGGTCCGAGCGGTTGTTTGCAATGCCGCGGCCTCCTTCTGGCTTCTGCTGGCATGGCTCGCACCCAGCACCCTCTCCTGCTGCAGGGTAGCAGGCCTCCGGTGGGCCTGAGCGCCGTGCCGTCCAGAAGCACATCAAGAGTGAGCGTATGCGACAATGTTTCGGCCAAGACGCTGGTAATTGATTAAAGTCTCTGTGCTCCAGTCAGGACTAGGAACTAGGATCGGGGTAAGTCCCTCCAGAGCGTTCCAGAGGCACCAGATCTCAGAGACGCCCGATTCATTCCGGTGCGACTTTGCCCCGTGTCTGGCTTCGTTTTGGTTTTCCGTGGGCACCTTCGGGCCAGCATGCCGACAGACGTACGGCACTTAGGGCCGCAAAACACAGGCGATAACAGCCTGATTGGGGTCATGCACAGCGCTTCGCGCGGATACGGTTGGACGGGGTAGTGCGCTCCCTGGTTGGGCTCTGTGCGGTCGGTCTGTTTTGCATCTTCAGCTGCAAACGCTTTCAGATCGCACTGAGATGCCAGTATCGGCAAGCCAGGCGGCAGCCAGGTGCTGCCTGATCTCCTTCTTCTCCTCCTCCTCCTCCTCCTCCTCCTCCTCCTCCGTCGCTCCTCCCCAAACGTCGCCCCTGAACCTACCCAGCAGTGCCTTCGGACTAGTATTTCGAGGTGGATCCATCTCCCTTCTTCGCCGATCTGCTCGCCAGCAGCGCCGAACGAAGTGAACCCCACCCTCCCCCTCAGAAGCCGTGGAGGGCAGGGGTAGGGTTCGCATGTGGTCCCCTATCCTCTCCCGACCGCGCAGGCACCTGGACTCCCGGAAGCAGTACATCTTCCGCGCCGCCTTCTGGAGCTCGCTGCACCCGCCGCTGCCGCAGAGGGTCAAGGAGCCCCGCGGCCTGCCCTCCGTCCAGGCGTCGGCTCTTGCCCCACGGTCTCGCCCGAGCTCGCCGTTCCTCCTGCGATCAAGCAGGGGGTTCCGTGCCGTCGTCGTCGTCGTCGTCATTGTTGTTGTTGTTGAACATTATTTCTTCTTAAGAATAATTATTGTTGGGACCCCTGGTGCGCGACCCCCCCGCCGCGCCTAGGCCGCAGCCACGTTTTCATCATTTTCGTGAGGAAGTCTCAGCTAAAACGATGTGATCCAGATCCGGTTGTGTTGTTACGATCGGTTTTCCCTTGCAAAAATAAGCTAAAGTTGACATTTCTTGTTCTAACATATCCAAACTTCAAGAATCCCTTGCAAAAAATAAGGTAAAGTGGACATTCGCGCGCGCAAGACGAAATCTATCCAAAACCTTAGTTTTCGTAGCGATTTTAACATAAAAACATCAAAAAACATGTTTTTTCAAAAAACAATTGTCAACATTTCATCCCGCGCGCTCTTGCGGATTCGTAGGAAACCCAACACTTTTTAAACATTTCTGTCAAACGAGCTTTTGCGAGCAACTTTTTCGAACTTCTGCGACAACGGTTGCGCACCTGCCAGGGCCATCATCCCTGTCAAATAATACCATGCGGGACACATTCGTTTTTTCTTCGCGCGCGCACGCCGTCGTCGTCGGCCGCGGGGCCCTGAATAGTAGCCACGGTCGTCCGCATGCCACGAAGTGAAGTGTCCGAACGTCATAGGGCGGGAAGCTGGGTGTGGGTGGTGGCGAAGAGTCGTTTGGAAATTTGGTAGAGCTTGAACCGGCCCCCCCACAAAGTGGGGGTATTGCCCGCCTCCTATGAAAACCCTGGCACTGGTGAGAACGGAGTGTCCCCACGTGCTAGTAATTGTTGTTGTTGTTGTTGTTGAACATTATTTATTCTAAAGAATAATTATTGTTGGGCCCCCTGGTGCGCGCCCCCCTGCGCCGCCTAGGCCGCAGCTACATTTTCATCATTTTCGTGAGGAAGCCTCAGAAAACGATGTGTCCAGATCCGGTTGTTTTGTTGTAATCCGTTTTCCCTTGCAAAAAACACTATAAAATGACATTTCTTGTTCTAATATAATCAAATTTCAAGAATCCCTTGCAAAAATAAGGTAAAGTGGACATTCGCGCGCGCAAGACGAAATCCTTCCAAAAGCTTAGTGTTCGGAGCGATTTTAACATAAAAACATCAAAAAACCAATGGTTTTTCAACAAAAAAAATGTCAAAATCTCATCCCGCGCGCTCTTGCGGATTCGTAGGAAAACCAACACTTTTTAAACATTTCTGTCAAACGGGCTTTTGCGAGCAACTTTTTCGAACTTCTGCGACAACGGTTGCGCACCTGCCAGGGCCATCATCCCTGTCAAATAATACCATGCGGGACACATTCGTTTTTTCTTCGCGCGCGCACGCCGTCGTCGTCGGCCGCGGGGCCCTGAATAGTAGCCACGGTCGTCCGCATGCCACGAAGTGAAGTGTCCGAACGTCATAGGGCGGGAAGCTGGGTGTGGGTGGTGGCGAAGAGTCGTTTGGAAACTTGGTAGAGCTTGAACCGGCCCCCCCACAAAGTGGGGGTATTGCCCGCCTCCTATGAAAACCCTGGCACTGGTGAGAACGGAGTGTCCCCAGTCTTAAATGATTGTTGTTGTTGTTGTTGTTGTTGTTGTTGTTGTGGTTGTTGAATAGGAGCGGGCGCCGGCCCCCGGCGCGCCCCCCCCCCCCCCCCCAACAACAACAACAACAACAACAACAACAACGCCGACGGCTCCCGCTCGAGACTTCCTCGCAATTCACTGAGGTTTGATGGAGTCCTCCACTGGGGCCCCGGCGCTCCCCCCCACGCCCCTACGTCCCCGCGCCCCCGCCCCCCCAGACACTCAACCTTATAGGGGTGCTACCAAAGCTGTGTGACTCCCTTTAGGGATTTTACCAGAGCCGCGTGGATCCGTCTAGGGATCCTACGACAGGTGTAGGGATCCCTATAGGGATCCAACCACAGTTGTATGGATCGTAATAGGGGTCGCTCTACAGCTGTATGGGTCCTTATAGGGATCCTTCCGCAGCTGCATCGGTCCTTATAGGGATTCAATTATATTCGTATGGATCCCTAAAGGGATCCTACCACAGATGTTGAGCATCCCTACAGGCGTCCTACCACAGCTGTATCGGTCCCTAGATCTTACCACGTTTGTATGGATCCCTACAGGGAGCAGGCTGTATCTGTATGGCTCCCGATGGGGATCGTGCCACATCTGTATGGATCCTTACAGGGATCCTACCACAGCTGTGTGGACCGCTATAGGGATCAAACCACAGCTGCATCGGGCCCTGTAGGGATCGGACCACAGCTGTATGGATCCTTATAGATATCCTCATACAGTTGTGTGGACCCCGATACGGACCCTGCCACGGCTGTGTTGGTCCATAGGAATTCAATAGGGCCCCCATAGGCATTCTATAGGTCACCATAGGAATTCTAGATGTCACACCATAGGAGTTATATCGGCCTCCATAGGAATTCTATAGGCCTCCATAGGGATTCTGTATAGGTCCCCATA